TGGGAGTTGAAGTCCACCCGTCTTAAAGTTCCCAAGGCTGAGAAACACTGCCGTATAGTAAAGCTTTTCTCTAAATCTCTCTGCACTTGGAAGGCAGTGTCCAGTTCTGGTCACCTCCGAAAAAGTAAAGTAAACTGCAGAGATGGAAAAGGGTGCCGAAAAGGGCAAGGACATTTACGAGGGGTCTTCAAGCAGCCGCTCTTGGAGAAAAGGCGAAGAACAGGCGGGGGGGCCGAGGTGCACAAAATCACAATGACGTGGAAAACGCAAATGCTTTCCCTCCCTCTCTCAGAACCACAGAACTCAGAGTCGCCTCTTGAAACTAAAAGCAGGGAAATTTGGGGAAGGGCCGCTGCTCGCCAGCTGGAGTTAAGTTATGGACCTCCTTGCTGCTAAAATGTAGGGACGGTCCCTTGTTTGCAGGGGGAACCTCTCATCTTGGAGGGCAGAACCCGGCTGACCAGGGTTTATTGCGAGAACGTTAAGCAGCACTGGGTCTGGTTGGATGGGAGACCACCAGGCCATCTTCGGATCTGAGGCTAGATGAGAAATCCTACGAATTACAAAGATGTGGTCCAACTTGACTTTGCGTCCAGTTTGAATCCTGGGGACGGCACAGGCCCGCCCACGCTGCTTTTTTGGCAACAGGCTACCGATGGCTACTGGCCTTGACGGCCATTTCCTGCTTCCTGAATCGCCAGCCTTAAGCGCAGTGGAAGAAAGTCAGCCATTCACCTTTGCACAGTGCTCGAGAGCAAGCGGTCAGCCGCCGGGTGACACAGAACGCTGGGCTAGGTAAGCCCCGGGCCTCACCAGCCTCGGGACCCTTCCATGTGTGTGAAATTAAGGAGCTGCGCTGAGCTTGGCTCCTGAAAGTTAAGGGGTCCAGCCCAGCTCTCCCTGCAAGGCTGTCCCCCCCAGCACTCACCGCAATCTGGTGAAGGCCCCAGGAGATCTCTGGGTCGCTCAAGCCCTTCCCATCGCCCCTCGACTCCAGGTAGGCTGGGAGGGGCACCACCGGCTCGGTCACCACGTGCAAACTTTTCTCTGTCTGCAGAAGCAAAGAAGAAAACGCAATTCTCCTGATGGAGAAATCGGGGGCAGGCGGGCAAGCGGGGGATTGCAGGAGAGTCTCGTGAGTGCCGTTGCAAAATGGCACCGCTGCTTGCAAATGTCCTGTTTCCATGGGGGGGGGGGAGAATTCGTAAAAGACAAGCAGATAGAGTCATGGAAGTAATAAAACGGTCACATTTCCAGCTCCGCAAACCCTTTTGCTCAAAGGCTTGGAGCTTGGAGCCAAAACTTTTTCTCCAGCCTGATTTTGTTTTTCATGCAGAAAACCGACTCTCTTCCCTTCCGTGTCCTGACAACTAAATTCAGTCTCATTTCCACACCGCAGGTGGTCGCCTCCTTTGAGCAGAACAGGGAGATGTCCTAATTGTTGGAGAGTCCCTCCCCCCAATCTTATTTCGCTACTGAGCGGATTCACACAACCCGTTGAATTTGGTTGCAAAATTATCCCTTTTCTGGGTTCCCACAAGACATCATGCAAGTGAATCCTACGCTAACCCACCGGGTTCCCACAACATGCTAAGCCACCGCCATAAAGCTGACTCAGGTTAACACTACCCAGCATGATGCGCGAAGGCAGCCACTGGGCCAGGCCCTCAGTGGGTTAAATGTGTTGTGTGAACACAGGTCATTTGACAGTAAGGCTCAGCTTTGTTTCTTGAGAGCGTGAACTCATTTTAGGGGGAAGAACAGAAGAATATATGACAGTGTCAGTATCAACAAGGGCTCCTGGGTCTAAAGTCTCGGCATCGCTCCCTAAGACCATGTTTCAGTTCCGGGAACCATCTTAAGATACCTCTAAGCCATCAATGTAGGATAAGATGTTCGGGTGCCGTAGCGTCTTGAGGAATCGAAAGGCCGCTTTGGCAAGCTGGAGCTGCTCTTCTGAACCCGGCTTCACCTCGTGCACGAAGAGGGAGACCGGCTCTCCCGTGGTCTGCCGGAAGGAAATGGACAGAGACCCGGGGGTGAGAGAGAATGGCGGTTATTGGGGGGCCACGCAGCAGAACACGGGCAGCTGGCCAAGCGGGCAGCCCTGAGATCCAGATGGCCCCCGCTCCCCTGGGCTTTAGAAGAGCTGCGAAGACCTGGCTGTTCACCAGGGAGAGCGAGACCCCTCGCTTCCTCGCGCGGGTCGTCTTTATCTTTCCTGTTTTATTGATTGGGTTGGCATTTCTTTGATTGTGTGTTGTGAGCCACCCAGAGTTGCTGGGAGTCGGGTGGCATACAGGTTCAATAAATTATTATTATTACTATTATTATTATTATTATTATTGGAAGAAGCTGCCACTGGATGGGTTCGCACAATGTATGAAACCCAGATTGACAAAGAACGTTCAGTGCCCAAATCAACCGTATTCTGGTTTAACGTGACGGCCGGATTCGTGCCACGTGCTCAGCAGGGCTGGTTTCCCCTGGAACTCACAGACCCACCCCTGCCGGAGCCCAACTTGGGGGGCTCTGCCAACCTGGCCAGGGTCCTCGGTCGGGTGCAGCCCGGCAGGCTCCTTCTTGCTCCTGGCACTTGCGGGGTGGGCAGGTTCGCTGCCCCAGGGGCTCAGGGTTCCACTGGAGAGGGGAGATGGGAACTGTAGCTCCTTACTACAGTGTGGGGGGGGGGGCGCCTGTCCTCTTTAGCTTAGCCCCTTTTTTGGGTCAAACCTAACCAGAACCGAGAAGAGTAGGCTGGCTGGGGGATTCTGGGAGTGGAAGTCCACGCCTCTTCCAGCGGCCAAGGGTGAAAAACAAAGAAATAGGCAAACCTGGACGGGGTCTTCCCAGGGCACCAGAACCCTGCTAAACCTGGTTACTGGGAAACTAACCAACTAACAAACCAGGGTCTGGGTTTATATAAAATCATGAAACCTCAACAGGGAAAGCGAGTGGGGTTCACACGATCGAGGAGGAGAAGAGATTATCGGGGTTTCCCCACCTTGGCAGCGTGAAGAGGGGTGGACTTCAGCTTATGCAG